AAAAGAGGCACTAAACTATAGACCTGTGTCACTGACGTGTATAGTATGCAAAATTATGGAGAAGATTATCAGGAGGAGAGTGGTGGAGCATCTGGAACGGAACAAGAGTATAAATGCCAACCAGCACGGATTCACGGAAGGCAAATCTTGTGTCAGCAAAAATTTCTGGAGTTTTATGATAAAATACAGAAGTAAGACACGAGAGAGAGGGGTGGGTTGATTGCATCTTCTTGGACTGCAAGAAGGGCCCTTTGACACAGTTCCTCACAAGAGATTAGTGCAGAAGCTAGAGCATCAGGCGCATATAACAGGAAGGGCACTGCAATGGATCAGAGAATACCTGACAGGGAGGCAACAACGAGTCATGGTACGTAATGATGTATCACAGTGGGCACCTGTGACGAGCGGGGTCCCACAGGGGTCGGTCCTAGGACCAGTGCTATTTTTGGTATATGTGAACGGCATGATGGAAGGGTTAGACTCAGAAGTGTCCCTGTTTGCAGATGATGTGAAGTTAATGAGGAGAATTAAATCTGATGAGGACCAGGCAGGACTTCAAAGAGACCTGGACAGACTGGACACCTGGTCCAGCAAATGGCTTCTCGAATTTAATCCTGCCAAATGCAAAGTCATGAAGATAGGAGAAGGGCACAGAAGACCACAGACAGAGTATAGGCTAGGTGGCCAAAGACTGCAAACCTCACTCAAGGAGAAAGATCTTGTGGTGAGTATAACACCGAGCATGTCTCCGGAAGCACACATCAATCAGATAACTGCTGCAGCATATGGGCCTGGCAAACCTGAGAACAGCATTCCGATACCTTAGTAAGGAATCATTCAAGACACTGTACACCGTGTATGTCAGGCCCATATTGGAGTATGCAGCACCTGTTTGGAACCCGCACTTGATAAAGCACGTCAAGAAACTAGAGAAAGTACAAAGGTTTGCGACAAGGTTAGTTCCAGAGCTAAGGGGAATGTCCTATGAAGAAGATTAAGGGAAATCGGACTGACGACACTGGAGGACAGGAGGGTCAGGGGAGAATGATAACGACATATAAAATACTGCGTGGAATAGACAAGGTGGACAAAGACAGGATGTTCAGGGAGGGGACACAGAAACAAGAGGCCACAATTGGAAGTTGAAGACACAAATGAGTCAGAGAGATAGTAGGAAGTATTTCTTCAGTCATAGAGTTGTAAGGCAGTGGAATAGCCTAGAAAATGACGTAGTGGAGGCAGGAACCATACACAGTTTTAAGACGAGGTTTGATAAAGCTCATGGAGCGGGGAGAGAGAGGGCCCAGTAGCAACCGGTGAAGAGGCGGGGCCAGGAGCTAAGACTCGACCCCTGCAACCACAAATAGGTGAGTACAAATAGGTGAGTACACACACAAGCACGCACGCACATTTACAGACACACACACACATTATATATATTATATATATATATATATAATATATATATATATATATATTATATATATATATATATATATATATATATATATATATATATATATATGTGTGTGTGTATTTTGGTTGTTGCGCGACCCGGGTAAGTTATTCTCCTATTACATAACCTGAGCCCCTAGTGTAGAGAACGGCTTAAGTTTATAATGCAGTTAAATCGGACGAATCATTCACACGTTAGCACATACAAATTAATATCAGAATTTCTTCAATAAAAATGGTAAATTATGACATACACAACTCAAATTAATTGGAATCTGCCACTAAGAAATATCAACAGTGAAGTCAAACTGAAGAGACCTACTCTCACTATATAAGAGTGACCCATATTATAAAATACATACGCAAACTAAGCTTAAATCCACTCGGAGGAACTCAAATTATCATATAAAAATCAATGTTTTACATTTCCCAGTTTTTCCATTAAAAGGCAAACTGAAAGCTGCAGTTTCATTTATCCAGCGGATTTATACAATTTCAGTGCTTTTTACACAACTTAGTATACTTACAAATTTGGTCGGAGAAAGTAAACTTAATGGGTATTATCTTGTCCCATAGACGCATCTGAAGAGATAGTATTAAATATCTTAATATGACTTAATGGGAATTAAATATCACGCTATTTTATATAAAAAAAACTTTAAGATGTGCTCCTACACACTTATTTTCAGTTATCGCCCTCATCGAATTAGGAGGCACTTTCTTAAAAGTTTAACGTCAGGCAGCAGAGGCTTTTGAAAGTTGTCAGACCCACTCCAGGAAGCAGCATATGCCAATGGTTACATGAATCTTTCCCAAGTTATTATACACCAGTTTAAAAATCTGAAGCCGGTTGCATGAGGCCTTCTTGTGTTATGAAGTAAACAAAATTTAGAATAAGAGAAAGAAAATTCATTCAATCATTAAAGGTCTGTCTTTTCGAGGATACCTAATTATATAGCTAAGACATTATAAAAAAATAAGTACTATAATGGGACAACTATACTACCACGTAGTAGGTTGTAAAACTTATGCGCATTCATGAAAACCATAACAGTAAGCCACCAACCAAGCAACATGAAAAATTGCAACTATTTATAACTCCTGAAACTCGTTGATTAAAATCAGTACATCAGCTAGACTCATGTACTAGTTGCACTTGAAGGCGTTCTCATTTATATGTATTCCAGTTGGTTTTATATATATATATATATATATATATATATATATATATATATATATATATATATATATATATAATATATATATATGTCGTGCCCAATATGTAAAACTAGTCAATTAGCAAGAACTCATTTAAAATTAAGTCCTTTCTGAAATTTTCTCTTATACGTTTAAAGATATATTTTTTTCATTAATGTTGATGTAAAAATTTTATAATTTTGCTCCAAAAGAATCTTAGAAAACTTACCTAACCTTATTATAACAAGTGCAATTTATTTTAGCCTAACCCAACTAAATATATTTTAGATTTGTTTACAATAATTTAATACTAAACAAACACAGTGAAATATATTTTTTTTCGTTAGGTTCAGAATGATTTTGTCGAAATTATTGCATACACAAATTTTCACTTGTCCTATATGGCAAGATGAGCGTTGCTATTTAAGCCAAGATCGCAAGTTCTGCCTATTCGGCACGACATATATATATATATATATATATATATATATATATATATATATATATATATATTATATATATATATATATATATATATATATATATTATATATATATATATATATATATATATATATATACTCTAACTGTGACCTGAAAAAGAAGACACACGTTCACTGTTGATCATTCAACCTGATCAGCTTCTAAGAATCTCTTCCAAAATGTTAACTTCCTACTTGATTAAAATGCAAGTAATAAAACAGCTTGCCTGCAACCTTTTCTAACATCCTCACAGAGGCTTGTTAAATTGTCAAGCCTCTAGCACTCAAAACCACTCTTACCCTTTCCCTGAAACCCTTCCTGAAAAGACCTGCTGAATTTCTACCTTGCACCTCGGATTTATATGCCCTGTTATTCATCCTATCTTACTCCTTCCTCTCAAAATGCTGGAAACATTCCATCAACCCCTCCTCTGTCCACTAAATTATATTTTTCATATCTCTCTAACGTATACCTTATAAACTAAGAATTATCTGCATAATATTCACACTGCACATTGGCCTCATACAAATCTGTATAATAATATAACCAGGGCTTTAGTAAGTTGGAGAAGGAAGAATAGTTATGGGTGGAATATGAAGGAGCGGGAGGTGGGTTAGGAGAAGAGGTAATAAAGTTAAATGGCCCAACCACTTTGGCATATATTAGTAAAGATGTGAGTGGGTTGTGTTACGCATAATAATCAGATGACTGGGTATACCACACCACCCATCAGGGGCATACATGTGCACAACATGCATACCTGCATGACAGTTAATTAGTGGTAGATATATTTTTTAAAGTGTAGCAATCAAATTGTTTTTGCAAGTTGTAAGGCGTCTGCTGGAGCTGTACGTCAGGTGATCAGATTCTTAGGCAGTGTCCTGCTGTAGGTGGTTTTCAGATGCTAAATGTAAGGCACCATCAGTAAGAATGGGTTTTCTCTGCCTTAAACATAGACTGGTACTCATTCTTTTATATCTTGAGGGAATTCATTCAGAATCATTGGTCTTGGGAGGTCCTTTTCTTGTACGAAAAGTCTGACTCTTTGTTAGAGGGACATTCTATGGTTTTTATGAGGAGGTATATTGATTATGTAGTCAGTTGTCTTAAGTGGCTGGGGTGGCTTTTATGTCTGTTATATAGAGATCTCGCATAGTATACAGTTGTCACTTCTTTAGTTTGTCATTCCTGATATTCATTATATCAGTTTGATTGTGGCTGTGATAAAGCGGTTGCATAGTTATGGACTCTTTGCAGCTGCAACATGTTTTTTGTTGTGAACGACATGGGCATGCAAGCATATTCAAGCAAAGGTCGTTTCGTCATCTTATTTAGATGCATAGCTAACAGAAGTGGGTTTTTGATAAGTTTACCTTTTTTGTGACATGTGATGTAAAGTTTAGTAATCTCATAGACTAGGATCTTATTCGGGTTTTTAATGGTGATATGTGTAACCCTGATGGAGATACCTCAGTTGATTTCAATTAATGTGGCAAAGTGTTCGATGGTACTGAAAAGGACCTTGTCAGGATTGGTTGTGACTCTCCAGCTGTTCACCCAGATGGCTGTGCTTCGCAATTCTATATTCATTTTTTCTGTCATCCTCTCATGATTGTTTCTTCCAGATGTAGCAATGAATGACAACTGCATGTACGTTCATGGATTTAGTAACAAAAATATGTCAAGACTCAACGGATTTTCCTATAATATTTAAAGTTCATCTATGAAACAGAGGTATCCTCCAAACTACACTGATAATAAGCATTTTTTTTTCCAAATTTTGGCCTAAAAGGCCAAGTATGAGGCAGCTGATATGTGTTCAAATGTGGCACAAAACATGCAAAAGACGCCTTAAAAAGGTTATTTATGACGAGGAGACTCTCGGGGAAAAGTGAGAAAGATCTGAGCTATATAAAGGCTGAGACAATTGAAGATGTCACTTCCAACGATGAAGCTCTTGGTGAGTGACTGGTGCAGTCGCTGACTTTGTACAGTAGGCTGCTGATGTTCAATGCATGTTGTACATTCATGATACAGTGAGATTTATGAAAGGCAGTATGTTGGATGTGGATTATTATCATTATAATCATGGGGAGCGCTAAACCCGTAGGGTTATACAGCGCATGTGGGGGGATGGAAGGTATTCAGGTTCAATTCAGGGAACTGGAGCACAGATCCAATTCCTTAGATCAAGAGCCCCTCACCAACGTCAAGGAACCTCCCTTGAGTGGTTGGATGTGGAGAAAGCTGATGCATACTAGCCCTGATAACTCTTACTGGTAATATTATGTTGAATTGTGAATTACTTTACTGTGATCTTTTTTGTCAGGATTAAATCTTAATGTCCGTATTAAACCTAATTGAAATCGTATAAATATTCTTCATGAAGTTTAAAACCAATGAGTTATTTTTAATACACATGATTGCCTCTTTCAGTATAGATAAATTTTAAATATTTAGTAGCAATGAAGGGTAAATATATATATATAGATATATGTATATAATATATATATATTATATATATATATATATATATATATATATATATAAAATATAAAATATATATATATATATATATATATATATATATTTTATATATATATATATATATATTATTATATATATATATATATATATATTATATATATATATGTCGTGCCGAATATGTAAAACTGGTCAATTAGCAAGAACTCATTTAAAATTAAGTCCTTTCTAAAAAAAATTTCTTATACGTTTAAAGATACATTTTTTTCATTAATGTTGATGTAAAAATTTATAATTTTGCACCAAAAGGAACTTAGAAAACTTACCTAACCTTATTATAACAAGAACAATTTATTTTAGCCTAACCCAACTTAATATATTTTAGATTTGTTTACAACAATTTAATACTAAACAAACACAGTGAAATATATTTTTTTTCGTTAGGTTCAGAATGATTTTGGCTAAATTATTGCATACACAAATTTTTACTTGTCCTATATGGCAAGATGAGCGTTGCTATTTAAGCCAAGATCGCAAGTTCTGCCTATTCGGCACGACATATATATATATATATATATATATATATATATATATATATATATAATATATATTTATATATATATATATATATGTATATATATGTCGTGCCGAATAGGCAGAACTTGCGATCTTGGCTTAAATAGCAACGCTCATCTTGCTATATAGGACAAGTGAAAATTTGTGTATGCAATAATTTCGCCAAAATCATTCTGAACCTGACGAAAAAAATTTATTTCACTGTGTTTGTTTAGTATTAAATTACTGTAAACAAATCTAAAATATATTTAGTTGGGTTAGGCTAAAATAAATTGAGCTTGTTATAATAACGTTAGGTAAGTTTTCTAAGATTCTTTTGGTGCAAAATTTAAAATGTTTACATCAACATTAATGAAAAAAATATATGTTTAAGCGTATAAGAGAAAATTTCAGAAAGGAATTAATATTAAATGAGTTCTTGCTAATTGACCAGTTTTACATATTCGGCACGACATATATATATATATATATATATATATATATATATATATATATATATATATATATATATATATATATATATATATATATATATTATATATATATATATATACATACATATTGTAGTAACATATATTCTAGCGAAGCTTATCCTCCTCCTTGCTTACGAAAGTCAGTTGTGTGACTGTGACAATAGAAATAAATCTTCATTACATGACAGTCTAGTCATGCGTGTGCTAGGTGAGTCTCGGTTTTCTGTCCATACTTTGCAAATTTCTATTGTGTTCATGTTTCATTGCACTTCTGGGTGTTATATGCTAAAATTGTTTAAATATTAATTTTAGACGACAATGTAAATAACGTATCTGGAGAAATTTGCTTGAAAACTTAGGATAAATCAATGTTTCCATTTGCGACACCAGCAATTATTAAAAAAAAATTAATGGTATTAATGCATTAATAATACCCATTAGGCTAGTGCTGTATATTTCATTAGCACCCAAATATTGTAATGTCATTTCTACCTACCCACTTCTTTATCATATAGGATTTTCTCTTAGCAACATCCACTTCATGTAGTAGTAATATTCACTTCAACGTACCAGTTTTATATAACGTTTAATTTACAGATTATTTCACGATCATATAAAAGTGTAGCTCAAACATATACTAGAACCTCTGAACAGAAATAACGCACTGGAATCTTGTTTAAAGTTTCAGCTTGCTTAGGATGGAACTTCCGTGCTTCAGGTCTGAGAGGGAAGACCTAAATCTGATATATAAAACATTTTGGTTTTGTAGTGGGATTTGCATCAAAATATCATATCTCTGAATACCATGTATATCGTTGTGACGCTCCTGTAGCATCATAACCTCGTATTTATTATATTTTGACTTGTAAAATGCAACCCCAATACGGTTAAGGTCTTCCTCGTACATATAATATGATAATGGAACCTTGAAAGTTTAAAATTAAACAATAAAATCTTTCATTATTTATCATGTAGAATTTTGATACCTTATGCGTTCGTGTATTTAGGTCTATCTACATGTATGTTTCAATGATCATACTTATCACCAAAATAATTTACCTTTTAACAGTCATACATGCATATATTTCATCTTTCTAAACCGAGAGAATATTATATTCAACATTTTACTATATCTCATTTCAGATGCTGACCTGTTTCCTGGCAGTCGCCACCGACTCAGTTCCTCATGGCTATAACCTAGACTCATCCTCTGGTACAGGGTTCTCTGCAGACTCTTCTTTTGGTTCTGGCTTCGCCTCAGGTGGCTTTGGATCTGGTTTCTCCTCAGGAGCATCAGGATTCTCGGGAGGTTCAGGAGGATCTGGTTTCTTCGGAGGTGGCTGTAGTTCTGGGCAGGTACTCAATGTGGACGGTAGCTGTGTGACTCCTGTGGTCAGTCGCAATTTGTTTCTATTCAATGCGCCAGCAGTTTCTCCAGTGGTTGGTCCAAAACCAAATGTTCCTCCACCCAAAATTGAGCATAACATTGTGTTCATCCGCACACCAGAGGGAGGCCCAGGACAAGAACCTATTATCGTCCCACCACCAAAACAGAAAAATATCGTGTACGTTCTCAACAGGATAACTGAGCAAGGCCAGAATGTCATCCAAGTACCAGCACCAGAGCAAGAGAGTCCTCAAGTATACTTTGTTAACTATGGTGAAGGAGACAACCCATCTCTTCCTACCGGTGGAGACCTTCAGTCTGCCCTCAGCTCCGCCGCGCAAGGCGAAGGAGACGTGATTGACAACGGCGGTGGCGGCAGTTCCGGAGGTGGCTTTGGAATTGGCGGCGGTGGCTTTGTAAGCGGTGGTGGAGGTGGGTTCGGGAATGGTGGTGGTGGTGGCGGCGGTGGATATTCAGCTCCCGTGTCTCAACCATCAACATTTTATTCTCAGCCATAAAAGCCAGAGCACCACATATAATATATACTTTGATATGCACTTATATAATGCAATAATGTTCATCTTTTTTTCCTCCCCCTGAAGGCACCCATAGCTCATATATTTTTGGCACAACTATTACTGCAAATCGACTACAGGTAATGAACAGAATCATGTTATAATTTCTACAGCATTCCTGGCTGATATCCACGGTATTCCGGTAAGAAATCACTGAACTGTGGTGGCTTGTGGTACTGAATTATGGTGCTGCTGATTATAATGAAGAAAAGACACATTGTTACAACGTTTACATCCGTTGAAATCTATATCAGGAAATAAAGATGGTAACATGGAAAAGTTGTCCCAGCAAAATTAAATGGGACTTTTCTTCTGTATAATGATGGCTACTGTTTCTAAATGTTATCGACACCATGCCTAACCCATCTAGGGTAGGGTAGGTGCCTGAGCCCGAGCCTTTAGCTCATAAGACTGTCATTCCCATTTGCTCCCTTGGGGCGGGGATGGCAGACCAGAGAGGCCTAGCTTGTGGCTAGGCCTGGGGACAGTTGGTCCTGAAGATGAGGAGGTACTTGTGCCTCCTCCCATGGGAGACTTAGGTCTCAGATACTCCCTAAAGAGGGAGCCAAGGCCGGGCCACCACTTGGAAAAGGCCCGGGCCGGGAGAGTACCGGCAAATCAAAAGAAGTTCTAAATGTTGATCACTATTGAATTCTACATCACAGTTTTTTGGATTTGCTAATTTTGTTGTTTAGCAGGAATTGTTAAAAATAAAGTGTTAAGTGTATGGTCAACTTTATTTGCCTTTTTTAATGACTAAGCTGCACAAATTTACAATAAAATAACTATGTATTTCGGTTGCTGCGTGACCCGAGAAAGGTATCCTCATACTAAAAAAACTCAGCCCTTCTACCTCAGTGCATGTAACACAACAATGTGGAGAACAGCTTACGTAATTATTGCAGTTTAACATTATCGCTGAAAATTTTAAATAAATCAAGAGGCATTCATTCGTTTTCACAGAAATTAATATCCAAATATATCTTCAATAAAAATGGCAAATTAAGATATTCACAGCTAACATTAATTCATAAATACCTCTAAGAAATATGTTTGAAGTCAAACAGAAGAGACATACTCTCATTATCACAGAGTGATCAATATCATAAAAGACTTAAGCAAGATAAGTTTGAAGTCGCTCGGAGGAACTCAAATCATTGTATGCAAATCAGTGTGTTAATTTTCCCAATTTCTTCCACAAAATGGTTAACTGAAACTTACAGTCACATTTGTCGCTAAAAAATGGGTCTGTACGATTTCTATTTCTTTAATAACATATTATAGTGACAAATTATCCCACAAACAAACCTAACTTATTGGGCATTATCTTGTCCCATAGATGCCTGAGCTATTAAATATTGATGTCATTTT